TGGCTGGCTGGCGCGAGGGTTCACCCTCCTCCTCCTCCTCCTCCTCTCCCCTCGCTCTCCTGCCGGCTCGGCTTGGCTCGGCTGGGCAGGTTAGCGGCGGGATCGGTGTGATTCAAGCGGGAGGCGAGGGGCGATGTGCCTGCCCGCTGCACGGCGGCGGCGGCGGCTGGGGCGGCGGCAGAAGGCGGACGGGGGCTGCCCTGCCGGCTGCGGATGAAGGAGGGCCGGCCGGGAGTGACCGGGGATGGTCGTCCGGCGCTTCTGCTTGCCCGGCGGGAGGCTTCCTTCACCTGGCCGGGCGGACCCGCCAGCTCCCGGCCGGGGAAGAAGCCGGACGGGGCTGTTGCCGCTTCTCCTCCTCCCGCGTCGTGTTCTCCTTTGGCTCGCTTGCCACCGCGGCCGTAGCAGCAGCAGCAGCAGCAGCTTTCACCTTGCCGTTGAGTACTAGGGGAAGCGGGCGGGCGGCAAGCACCTCGCTGGCGGGCTCGGAAGGCGCAGGGGCATGTGGATGTGGGCTGCCCTCTTGCTCCACAGCGTCCTGAATGGTGAGCCTCCGGGGGGTCCGGGCGCCGGGGCGGGGCGGGCGCGCGCGGAAATTTAATGAGGCGATTTGTCTTCTGTGTGCCGGCTGCGGATGAAGGAGGGCCGGCCGGGAGTGACCGGGGATGGTCGTCCGGCGCTTCTGCTTGCCCGGCGGGAGGCTTCCTTCACCTGCGGACAGGCTGCTGCGGGCGGCGACGGGGCCAAGCGCCGCCGCGCACCTGACCTCCGCCTCCTCCACCGCCTCCGCCTCTTCTTGCTGCTCCCGCCGCTTCTCCTCCTCTTCCTCCTCGATCTCCGTCTCCTTCGGCCGCTGGTCTCACCAGCCGCCGCCGCCGCCGCCTCCCTCCTTTTCCCTCTAGCTGCGTCTTTTCTGCCGGAGCCAGCAAGTGTCCGCGGAGGCGCAGGGCGACGCCAGGGGAGAGCGGCGGCGGCGGCGGCGGCGCCCTCCTCGCGTGCGGGACCCCCGGGCGGAGGCGCGAGGCCGGGCGGACCCGCCAGCTCCCGGCCGGGGAAGAAGCCGGACGGGGCTGTTGCCGCTTCTCCTCCTCCCGCGTCGTTCTCCTTTGGCTGGCTTGCCACCGCGGCCGTAGCAGCAGCAGCAGCAGCAGCTTTCACCTTGCCGTTGAGTACTAGGGGAAGCGGGCGGGCGGCAAGCACCTCGCTGGCGGGCTCGGAAGGCGCAGGGGCATGTGGATGTGGGCTGCCCTCTTGCTCCACAGCGTCCTGAATGGTGAGCCTCCGGGGGGTCCGGGCGCCGGGGCGGGGCGGGCGCGCGCGGAAATTTAATGAGGCGATTTGTCTTCTGTGGCTGCGGCTTCTCGTTCCTTGGAATGAAGGAAGAAATTGCTTTGCAATAATTTAAATCACGCCTCAACTTCAATGTGGGTGTCTCACTCGAAGAGAGATAGTCCTTCGAGGCATAAGTATTTTGAAAAAGGAATAATAATAATAAAAACCCCACACATTTAATGAACATTCCAGAGCCACCTCCTTTTCATGCCTTTTAAGGTGGAAACAATGCCTATTTAAATATCATTCGTATCAGTTTGGCAAGGGCAGATTTCAAGGCGGGATCATACCTAATTTGCTTGTATTCAAAGGAAAGAATTGGCACAAATATGAATTACAGATTTTTATTTAAAAATAATAATTGTGTATCTTAAGCACCACAGTTTGGTGATATTTCAAGATGTGAAGAGGAAACATATTTGTAGGTTACCCATGGAGTTTAATGTACATTAACAATAAATAATTCACATATAAAATATGTGATGTTTTATTATCTGAAGTGACTGCATCACCTGTTGAAATATGAGGCATATAAATACCATTCAGACATTTTGGTCTTTTCTCACAAAGCTGTTCCAAAAGATATCATTTTTATCATAGGAAAACTGTGGCCCATGGTCTGAACTACTACAGAATAAAGGTGTCATCAGGGCTGGTCCAACTGTCTGACTGCTGAGGTGGTACTTTCCTCACAAGTCACTGCCCCCTTCTCAGCATCATAAAGCCTACATCAAAGCTATCTTCTCAGTCAGAAGGCTAGGGATGATAATGGAGCACCATTTGTTTCATGGGAGTTCTTTCCTTGGCCACACCACAAGCAAATAAGCTACTATCACATGGGAGAAGGGGACTGCACCATCTATATTACCAAATATTTACAGACACTTACCAGTGAGAAATGTTCTTTGGGAATTAAATACCTCAGATTGCTCTTGATGTACTGCAGAATATGTTATTTTAGTGCTATTCTGGCAAGCTTTTTATTGTTTTAATTATATGTGAAGTATGAGTGCAACCCCACAAATCTTAATGTGACAATTTAATCATAAGTAAACAAAATAAAGCACAACACATAGTATTATTATCAAGCATAGTACATAAAACTAAAATGAATAGGTGATGAGCATGCTGCGGAGAATGGTCAAGATGAAGTGGAAATGAGGTAGGTCAGACAGGAGGAACAAATGTGGAAATACTTTAAACTTGCAGGGGGTGCAACAGAAGAAGGAAAGCAAAATCATTAGGTGGGCGGTGGTATTCATCTTCGATCTTATATTTCAGTACAATGGGCTCTCATGAACTAATAATCCACAGGCATCTAAATCTCATCAAACTGTGGAGAAACACTTAAACTTTACTCATGATATTCTAGAGTCACAGTATCTCCCTAAGTATGTCTTTCGATATTCTTTGTTTCTAAGGTAATACAGTATAAACTATCATTGTTCTTAAGGGAATGCCAGAGTTGATATACAGTAATGCTAATGTAAATTGCTGAGAGATTTTGCAATATATTACACAATGCACAAAAATGACTATTATTACCACTACTAAAAATGGCCTACCAATATACAGGAAGACTGGTGAAAGCAGAAAACACCTCTAAATGCTGTTCATTAGATCTTTTCCCTACTGAAAATATGATGAAAGCAGAGGCTAGAAATTGTCCTTTTATACTGATCTCTCTCTTGATATGGACCAGGTCAAGGGCACATAAGTGGGTCAACTGGCCTTTCCCTAATGCTTTTGTGTAGCACAGCCCACACGTATACACAGTAGCAACTATCTCTTTCCCTTGGCATTTTCACTTTGTGCATCTGGAGTATGGAATGTATCTGAAAGATCTCTCTCCTGCACATTAATTAGTCTGTCAGATGGGACCACAGATACCTTATGCAGAAGAGACTGGAAGAGTCCCTGTGAAAGAATGTAGCACAGAGATGCTTAGGTTTATGAGGACCATTCATATGAAAATAAACCATCTGTTAAATTATACCCCCTCCTTTTTGTTAAAAATGTACAGCCAAAAGTGTATCTACTGGGATATATAAAGGTAATGTATATAGATAATGAGGTGTATGGGTCTCACTCTTGTACGGGTAGAGATGTCAGATTTCTTGTAAGGCATTCCATAGGAACATAGAAAGGAAGTCACACCAGCAGCCAAAGGTCATGGGTTACATTTAGCAAAATAAGCAGAAAGAACGCCAAATGCAGCAGGGCTGGCTTATCACATATATCATGGGTTTTCCACATTTCTCTCATATAAGGGAAATGTCTATGCAGCTTCAAGCTAAGGAAGGATCTTGGCTAAGTGGTGGAGCACTTGCTTTGTATGCAGAAGGTTGCAGGTTCAATTGAAATTGGGCAGGGAACAATCCATGTCTGAATCTTTTTGGGAGTCATTGCCAGCAAGTGTTCATGGCACTCAGTATGAGAGACCATATATGATGACCCTTGCTATCACTCCAGCAAAGAAAGGCACAATGTTACTTTGTCCCTTTATCTCTATGCAAATTAGTTTGGGGGAAGGGATGTGGTCCAGATCTGGAAGGAACAAATCTATATCTGTAAAATGAAAGCTTTGTTTACTATTAAAAAGCTTTGTTTACTGTCTGAGGAAGTGGACCTGTCCACAAAATGTCACATTAAAATATAGCTGTTAGTCTTTAAGGTGCCACAAATTTTTTGTCTTCTTTTTTTTCTTTTTCTTTTGACTTTGTTACTATTACAGTATATGGTTTCATAGACTAGTGTTATTCAGTGAAAGTATGAATAACTGACAATTATAGGATGGTGCCTGGAGGAAGGAGGAAGAACTGCGGTAGAAAGTTGTGCAACACTGTGTCTAGCACATTTTCAGGGGCTTCCGACTGTGATCCAAAATAGATGGAATTAGGAATAATATAGTTTTCTGTCCTCTGAAGATGCCGGCCACAGAGACTGGCGAAACGTTAGGAAGAACCACCTTCAGAACACGGCTAAGAAGCCCAAAAAACCCACAACAACCAGGAATAATATATTTTGAATCTGTGAAGATTCTCAGTCATCCAGGTGAGGTTATCTGGAAGCTGAGTCATAGCAACTGGACTTCTTTCTTGTTAGGTTGAAGAAGCTACTTGGATGACTGGCTAAAGAAGCTACTAGATAAGTAGCAAAATGTTTCAACCTAATATATTTTGAACAATTTATGTGCCTTAAGCTGGTGAATTGTAATTCAATGGTACTGGAAAAGCAACATCCCACAATTTAGGTTAGTTATTTTTTATTTTTTTACAAAGGACTGGAATGAAGCAAAAGGTTTCACCTTATTTAGCCTGAGGATGTAGACAGGTTGCTTGGAAGACATTAGCCCAGAGCCATTTGGCTGTTGATCTCTTAGTAAAAGTTGCCAGAAGAATGGTATGTATGTATGTATGTATGTATGTATGTATGTATGTATGCATGCATGCATGCATTCATTCATTCATTCATTCATTCATTCATTCATTCATTCATTCATTCATTCATTCTACTTGTATGCCACCCGCATTCTGCAAGAGTCTCCAGGCGGCTTCCAACATAAATTAAAACAGTTCAGTTAAAAACAGACAATAAAAACCAATATAGCCACATCCACTCTACAAAAGCAAAAATAAAAACAAAAAAATCTACAAAAACAATCTAGATCTAGATATGTTGCAGACAGTTCTGTTAAAGGAAGGGAATTATGCTTCAGTTACTGAAAAAGATGCTGTGGTTAGACCAGTGTTGTGGAGGGACCATATTTGGTCCCCACCATGTGAGATAATATTGGTTGGTCTCCAATATTCATTTTCAGAGCAGATTTTTAGATGCAAAGGTGGCAATTTTGGTTTTCTTCAATTTAATTAATTACATAGCCCTCTTCCATACTATGGGACAGAAATAACTTTGGCCATTTTCGCAGGTGAGCTGTGCTGAAAATTAGATATGTTCGCTCTATTGGATCTATTGGACCTTTCATTGGCATTGGACACTGTTGACTGTATCTTTCTATGACAGTTGATCAGTAAGGGACACGGTGTGCTGCCTTGATAGCTGATCTAGATGTGTTTTATGTTCTTATCTTTGTTTAGACTCTCAAGACTCTTCCCTTCTGCCTTCTCCTCTCTCCCTTCTCTCTTTGAGGTCATTTCCTGATTTTTGTTGTCCTTGCATTATTAGATTTGAGGGATGTAGGCCATGGCTGCAAGTAGGTCTGCATAAAAGAAGCAGGTTTTAGGTTTCTGTAACCAAGTATCGGTATGGGTATCTTTATCCTCATGCCTTATCAAATAAATGGATTTCAGGAAAAAGTCAATGGTAATTTGCTATTTGACTCACCAAGTAGTTATGTCCAATAGAATCAAAGAATTGTACAACTAGAAGGGATCTTAAGGACCCAGTGCTTAAGAAATCCAGAGCTAAAGCATCCTTGATCTAAAGTCATATAACCACTATTTAAAAACCTCAAGTGAAAGAGAGTCCATCACCTTCTGAGATCATCTGTTCCACTGTCAAACAGCTCTTACTATCACACTCCTTGTGTTTAGTCTTCTTCACTTGTCTCATACACAGCATTTGTCTGTTGCACCAGACTCTGAAAGTAGAAGTATCAACTACTTCCAATGGTTCTGCTTTCTGTTTTTAGCAAACATGGCTTTTCTCCTATGCATACTCTGTTACGATAGGTTGCCTTGAGAGCTGTTTTAGGGTAAAGGTGACACATAAGCACTTTTATGAATACAGTGGGGTCTTGACTTAAGAACGACTTGAGTTAAGAACATTTTGACTTAAGAACCACTCTCACAGGAAAATATTGACTTGACTTACATACTTAGATTTGAGTTAAGAACTGAAAAAAAACCACGTGGGAGGCAGGGAAAGTGCAAAATTTGAACTTTCAGTTAACTGTTGGCCAGTGGAAAGGGTGCCTGTCTG